GTAGGAGTACCGAATCTTCCCGTGGCTTTTGTGTGTGCGGCTGCGGAACAGCAGCTGCTGTTGGCAGGTCTCCAAGCTTCGGTAACGGGGGGGTGTTTGCCTAAAGTTAGCGAGAAGGGAAAAGTGCATGCTCTGTGAAAGTTACTCGGGGATGCTTTGCACCTCGGGATAACTTTTGGAAGCTTTGTCCTGCTGCGTGTGTTGTTCTAAAGGTTATTGTGCCTGCTGAGGTAGATTTGCCTGTTTAGATGAAGTGCAAGAAATGGTAGTGGGTACAGAGCACCGAACATGTTTCATCGGTGGATTTCAGTGACTTAGGAAAATACTCTTGTCTTATGAACTACTTTAAAAGTACTGTTCATGTCACTGATTCATCTTAAAAATTGCCATGGTGTTTATGTTCTGCCTAAAGTGGCTTCTGTCCATTTTGTTCCTGTATTATCTCTTCCAAGATGGATTCTGATGTTTTAAAGGCACTTTTGCAAATTGTGTTCCAGTATCAGTAGTGCTGTATGATGTAAGTCTGCAAATGAGAAAATGATGTGGTTTGGAGACAGTGATAAATCCCATCATCCTGAAGCTCCAGAATCTTCTGGTTTGAGTTAGTGAGAAGGTGCATTGCTAAACTGAGAGCGTATCTCCTATCTCTTGATCAGTGTGACAGCAGGCCTGTAAGGCTTGGATATTCCATCACACTTGTTATAATCAAAGCAGGGTGCTGAATCTCAGAGTGGTACCACATGGAAGTTGGGTTGTTATTTATTATGTTGCATAGGTGGAGGATTTCAACTAGGGTTTCTCCCCTTGAAATTTAGAACTTGGTTACAAATGATGAAAGCTGTGATTATTATTTAACACAAGTTTTGTCCTTTTTTTGTTTTTTTTTTTTCCCAAGAGGTGGACAACTGATGGAACGTGCCACTAGGAAGGACAAAACTGTTCTTTCAAGGTAGTTTGTGTGGACTAGACTGAGACCTGCACAGAAAAATATCTCAACCAACAGTGACTGGAACACTTGAGAACTCCTGAATGATTGCTTGAGGTAACTCATGAAAATTGTTGATTTAAAAAAATGTGTGGGGCAGGGAAGACTTATTGCACAAGGCTGGGAACTGTTTGGTTGGCATTAGGAAATACAGGACCATGACAGCTGAATGCTGTGCCCCAAACCAGAGTTTCTTTATTGCCAACGGTCTGTGATGAATCATTTGCCATTAATGGGTCTGTGGCAGGCAAGTGAGCATGAAAGGGGAAAACCAGGGAAGAGAAAAGGGGAAGGGAATGCAAAAAGTTGTTTGGTGTCCCAGTCTTGCCACTCAACAGTGAACAGTTTTCAGGGCAGCAAAGAATGAGATGGGGAAAAAAGGGCTCCTGAATTCTTATGGGACAGACACAAATACCAGTAATTCTCCAAGGCCTGTGAAGGGATTTGTGAAAATCTTGCAGGTGAAGAAGTGTGTGAGGGAATTCTGGCACTGCTTAATATTTTGTGTACATAAAGTAAAGATGGATGATGCCATCCTCTTCACAGTGCCATGGGATGGTTTGGAGAATAGCAGCTACTAGGAAGGGAGAGAAAGAGGAGCCAAAAAGAGAAGTGTTTAAATGAGAACTTTATCCCTTGCAGATTGAATGGTGGTTGCAAGGAGTGTTTGAAGGGTGCAGAAGCACAGATGTGAAAACTTGATAGCTGTATGTACACATACAGCAAAACAAACACTGTGTCCTTGAGGGGAGGATCAAAAATTAGCTTGTTGTCTAAGGGCTGGGCTGAACTCGATATGTTGGTGCCATTTTATCAGCATCATTCACATGAAGAACGTTTCTCTCGTGGGTGCAATTATAACACTGTTATTGTACATTCACACAGATAACCACTTGGCAGAACAGGACAGTCTGAATTGATAGAGGTGGCTTTTATCAGCTAGAAAAGCTGTGTACATGGGGCTGTTAGCCTTAAAATAACGGCTCTTGTCCCATTTATAAGCAGCAGAACTGAGAGCTGCTAAGGCATCCAGCCTTAGGTGTGCTGGAGGGTGGTGCCCCTCTCTTGCTGCACCATTTACCTTCCCAGCAACTTTACAGCTGCTACTAATAGTTAATTATAACTGAAGCCCCCCCATTTTTATATTTTGTGAGTGAAGCCTTTGCATTTGACTTTGATCTAGTGGTTTTTGTTCTTTAAGCTTCTCTGTTTCTGTTTAGGCCTTGGAGGGAAAACATTAAGACTTTACATTTCACAGTCAGCTCTCTTAAGCAGCTATGGAAATAGAAAAGGAACACATTTATATTACCCCAACAGGTAAGTAATATATTCAGTTGGTTTGAGTTTTTTAAACTTAAAGTTGCTTAGCTGACCAGAAGGGTTCTCTGTAGAAAAAATGCATCACCTGAGAATTTTTTTAACAATACTGATTTAGAAAAAAAAAAAATCAAAACCTTACAGAATAATTCCTTTAATTGTATAGCAAAGAATCCTGCTCTATTATGTTTATTTAAAATTTATTAATATAAAAAAGTTAGCATTTCTGTAAGTTACTGGGTAGTAGTTTGACTTTTCTCCTTATCATCCGAGTTCAAGTAGTGCTGGTGTGAAGAAAAGGATAAACTAAAATGTGTAGGTGTGTTTAAATTTTGCTTTTATGCAACAATTTACCTTAGAATTAGGGGAAACAAATGTTGAAGGGCTTGGCTGGAAGTGGGCTGGCATGGGAAAAATTTAGGAAGTACATGTTAGAGACTGCCATGAAATGGACTCTTTTGTCCATATCACACATTTATTTTATGATGCTTAGTCCAGGTTACACAGATTCATGTTGTTTTCTGTATCTTCCAAAGGTTGTGATGCTCTGCACTGACTCTTTCATGTCAAATAGCTTTTAAATGTTTTTTAGAATAACATGTATCTACTTTAAGATGGTGGGTAATGCAGTTGAGGTGGCAATAAACTCCATATGATTTCTGATATTTAAGCAGAATTAGGTTAGTGCAGAAGACACCTTGGTTGTCACCATTTTAGAATTATATTTGGCTAATGGGTGGAAAGCTGCAGGAGAGCTGGGTTGGCAAAGTTTGGACAGTTCAAATTGGTAGAAGGCTTTGTTAACAAAGGTAGCCCACAAAAGCACAGATTTTAAGTGAGCCTGCTAGGCTGAATGGCAGGGTAATGAGATAAATTTGGGTAACTTCTTAATGTATAGTAAGCAAAGTATTAAATTTGATTGAAGACTGTTGCTGCCTATATATGTATATGTTATATGAGGTGAAAATAAGAAGCTAGAAGGAAGATCTGCACCATTTTATAGGTTCTTATTATTTTACTTTATTATCTAAGTTTTTGGAAAATAGTATGTGTTTAGTCTGTGCTTTGAAGCCTAACTAGGTAACTAATAGTGGAGGACCAGTTGGTTACCATGTTATGGAGAAAGAGGCTGCAGCTGGAAGTTACAATGTTACATAAAACCCAGTGTAGTAAGAAATATGAATTCTTCTGGGTTTCCTGTGGAGGATTTCCTTTAGTCTTGAACCTGAGATCAGGACTGTGTAAGGAGGTTGGACTGTAGCCTCCCTTTAATCCTTAGCTGTCGGAGTCAGGGCTGACTTGTGTTAATTGTTGGCAGTTTCCTTTGGAAACTGAGAAAGGAGTAAGTGGTCTTTGAAGAGTGGAGTTTCTGGACAGCCAGAACTCAGGTCTAAACTGGAGAGATTCATGGGAGACTGAGCATGAAGAAGAATTCGAGTGGATTTGACTGAGAGGAGCTGGTTGTTGCTGATGGGGCCTCCTGGGGAATGAGAGGAAGGAAACCTGTTTGGGTTTGCTCTTTTTTTCCCCTCTGTTAGCTTTATGCAAATCCTTCATTGTTTTATTAAAATGTTAGACAAACAGAGAAAGCCGCTTGTGAGAAATCTTTTCCTGGATGTGATGCATGCTTTTCTTTTTTAGCTTGCTGCAAGCATAAAAGGAATGCTTTTGTGGGAGTAATGAGTGGAAAGATGAAGCTTAGCCTGGAATGGCTGCACTGTTGCTTAGCTGTAGCATTCACATCTCTGAACACCAGTATCTGAATGTTTTTTCTTTGATCACAAAGGAGGCAGTTCCATCAACTTTTGCTCTGCTTAATATGATCTTTGATATGGGTAAATACTTGGAGATTGGCAATATTTTATTAGTTCACTTGGCTTTAAAAACAAATGTTTGTGAACTTGTTTCAAAGTGAGAAAACAATCCTGAGAAATGTTGCCAAATGCTGGTTGGTGATGAGCAGATATTGGAAGGGTGAATTAATATGTTAGCTAAGTTCAGATGTAAATTTTGAATACTCTTCATATTCTGGGTTTATGGCAATGAACTCTTCTGTAAAGCAGTTTTGGAAAAGCAGCTTCTTCTGAGTGCCCTCATCTTGCCCTGCTAGTGTTGGGGCTGTGGGTTGTGTCTTTAGTGCTCTGCTCAGTTCTGAAGAAATGGAGAACTGTGTAACAGAGAGCTGAGGCTGTTCTCTGTCTGTGTCTTATAATTTGCAAGGACTCCCAGGGTACTCACTGGAATGTAAATTGATTCTCAGGTGCTTTTTCTTTTCTTCTTTTTTTTTTCTTTTTTCAAAATCTTGATTAGTTAAGAAGGGGAAGAATAGCTAGTGAAAGCTTTTGTTTATAATGCTCTAAATAAGACATTCTGCTGAACCAGACAGCAGTAGTGGGGAACAACTTAACTTTGTGAAATAAGACTTTAGACCTAAACGTTAAATGTGCTTCCTCAGAGAGTGAAGTCATTGCACTTCTCGCTGCTCTATTTATGGATCCTCAAGTAGTGAGAGAGTTTTTTGTTGGGTACAAAACAAATCTATTATGTGATTGTGTTGTGTGTAGAAGCAGCCTTGACAGAAGCTACAGCGAGGGACAGTCCATAGAGAAGAGAGATCCCACTGATTCACAGGACTGTATATTCTAGGAGTCTTCATTACCAAGCTCTCCAAGCTTTGTAGTGAACAGCATTTTCCCCCATAACTTCAAAACCAAAAAATAAAATGAGTACTGTTTTAATTTTCTTCTATGTCTAAATTGTTGCTTTTCTTGCTAGTGAGCTGTGTTTGAAATTCCTTTAATTGAATAAGGGGAATGTTGGTTGATGACTTAGGGAGTTAATTTCACTTTGGTGATGAGTCTTGTAACATTGGTGAGTTCCTACAGAATTTACTGTATTGGCAGTTTCATTTGTTTCTAAATCAAGGGAAGAGTGGGAGGAGTGAGAACGAGGCACTTAGATCTATGCACCTAGGAGTTGGGATGGTTTTTGTTTAACAAGGGTGGGGTTTTCTGTGGTTTATGTATTTGTGTATGGTTTTATTAATTTGCTCTCCAGCTCTTGACTTCTGCTCTGTTTAGATTGTGGATATTTTGTGCAGGGGAATAAGGAAGTCCTTATTACTGCAGTATGCAGACATACCTTAAAAACAACCTTTGCCTTTACCCTGTTGAAAACAAGAGTTCTATATGATCTTACAATCCTTTCTAAATGCAATGTGTTTGGTATTCTAACATAAAACTGTTTAAAACTATAAGATGTTTTTCTGTCTTCTTTTTAAGAACTTGAGAATCTAAATGATGCTCCATTTTCTGGTGATGAAGAAAATGGTGGGTCTGAGGAACGAAAAACTGAAATCAATGGCAATTGGATTCCCGCAACTTCGATTACTGAAGCCAAAATAAACGCTAAAGCAAAGAGAAGGTTGAGGAAAAACTCCTCTAGAGATTCTGGGAGAGGAGACTCTGTGAGTGAGAATGGAGAGACACTGAAGGTTGGAGTTGTACCAACGAGCCCAAAGGGGAAGCTCCTGGACAGGCGATCCCGCTCTGGAAAGGGGAGAGGTCTCCCAAAGAAAGGTGGGTATGGCTTAGTGGAGAGAGCACAATGAGAAAGATAAAGGTTTGTTCAAAGCACAGAGCATTTTTTTCTGCTGGGAATCATTTTCACAAATCACAGTCTCTGTGCAGGCTTTTGGCCCTTTATGTTATTTAGTGGGTGGCAATAGCAGGTGGCAGCAAATCTAATATGTCAACATCTGTCTTTGAGGGAAGTACATTTCCTTAGCAGGCTTAATACACAAATCTGAACTGTTGATGGTTCATGGGACTGTTACTAATGCAAATTGAAATCATGATTGTATTTGAAAATACAGTTTCAACCTTCAGGAATTCCTGTGCAGTCCATACTGCTTCTAATGTCTTTCTGGAAAGTGATGAAAAGTGGCTGAGGAAGTGGGAACTTGTCAGACAAACACACACTCTTCAGCATGTATTGTTAGTCAGGAGATGGGCACAAGCAGTGAAGGAATGCTGTGTTGAAGTCACAAGTGTTGTTTGTAAGCTGGTGGTCCTTACTTACTCTCCCATATTTTTGCCAGGTGGAGCAGGTGGTAAAGGAGTTTGGGGAACACCAGGTCAAGTGTATGATGTGGAAGAAGTGGATATTAAGGATCCTAATTATGATGATGACCAGGTATGCAAATAGTTTCTTTGCAGTGTTGGTTTATATTTCCTTTTATCAATTTCAATGGCCTTGTGAGTTAACATGAATGTCAGCCTGGCTACACTGAAATGCTCATTTTTATGCTCAAGAACAGATTATTGGCCAGTAAAAAGTCAGCTGGTGTAGAAGTCCCAGCGTAATACTCACAAATCTTATTCCCAAGCCCTCTTTCTGTGCCTGAGTAAGCAGCATCCCTTTCCCAGGTGTGTTCTCCACTGCTGTTTCCCACAGAGGTGGATGTTGTAGTGCTGCTCCATATTGCACACAAACACTGTGTTAAAATTGCAACACAGACTTGCTCAAGTGGGGAGGTTAGTGGGGACAGTATCCTTTATAATAATATAATAATCCCTGTATTTCCAGCCTGCCCAATGTCTTGTCTGCTTGGTGTAAACACTTCATGAAGCTGATAGCTTGGACAGTTTGTTGACATATGTTTAGAATATGTTATGGAAGATTGTATCTTACAGCCATATTACTGAGAGAAGGGGAGAGAAAGCAAAGCTTATTGAGCAGAGGGCTTTCCATCATTGAAAGGGAAATGGTGATTAGAGCACAGCTTGCTGAAGTCTCTGAGATCAGATCAATTGCAAGACAGACCATCAGTACACTCTGTGTGACATAAGCAGAGCAATGGTGGTGTCCTTTGAGTAGAGGCTGTTTGCTGTAGCCATAGCTGCTGAATGTATGGTATGTGAGAATATCAAAATCTTCTTCCAGGATCAATTTTCACTAAAATTTGACACTTTACATTACATTAACAGAAATAGCCATTAAAATGGAGCTGACAAGTGCATAGAACAAAGTTTAATGAAGAATGAGCATTCTGTGTAACTTTGATATGATGGACGGATAGGTTTTTTTCTTTCTTCTATACTTCTTGATCATGAAAAGTTTCTTTCCCTTACACATTGGTTGAAAAACATCTTTGATCAGATGTCTTTGTTCAGCTCTGTAGTATTGCTCTGATTGCTGCTTCTGTAGGTGCAGAGTAGGGAACTGAATTAGAGCGGGGAGATGTGGTGCTGCTGGAGCTCTGCAGGACAGGTGATACATGAGGCTGTTGCTGTTGCCTCTTTTTTCCCCTTCAGGCGTGCCTTTGCTCACTGATGTTGTGAAAATGCCTTTTCTGTGATTTGTGTGTGGCACCACCTGTCTGGTCACAGAGTCACCAAGGAGGAGGGAACAAGGCAGGGCTCCTGCCAGGGACAGGAGTGCCACTTGCAGGGGAAGGTGCTGTGGCACAGCCAGCTCTGCTGAATCCTAGGAACACAGTTTGGTGTGTTTACCATTGTTTAACAGTAAATTCAGCCTTTCAGTTAAATTGAGCTAACAGTAAAGTCAAAATATAAAGAAGTATGACAGCCACCATTATCTGCACTTCAGTAGTAGAGACAGAGTCTAATGTTTTTTGGCAGAATATTGACTACCAAGAATGATGTATTAAGGATTAGAACCCCACTATTTTGATGCTATTGGTGCTGCATAAGTTGCAAGAAAAGACAATAAGGGTATCTGCTTCTGTTGTCTTTTAAAACAGGAGAACTGTGTCTATGAAACAGTAGTTTTACCTCTTGATGAAAGAGCATTTGAAAAAACTTTAACACCAATCATCCAGGAGTATTTTGAACATGGAGATACCAACGAAGTGTCGGTATGTTATGTGCCTTTTTATTTCTGTGTATTAGGGGTCAAAGCTGTAGCACACAGGGTAGTGCAATTGCCAGCTATGAATGAATTTATAGAAGTTTGCAAGAAATGTACTGTAAGAATATCCAAGCAGTTATACTAATTATGTGAGCAGAAGCATATATGTAATTGTATAAGCACATAAATATTTATTTGAGGTCTATTTATATATTTAAATAATAAAAATTATGAAATCTCATTGTTTTGTTTTTCAAATCTTATCTAGGAGATGCTGAAGAACTTAAACCTTGGTGAAATGAAATACAGTGTGCCAGTGCTGGCTGTTTCCTTGGCATTAGAGGGGAAGGCCAGTCACAGGGAAATGACATCTAAGCTTATCTCTGACCTTTGTGGGACAGTAGTAAGCAAAACTGATGTGGAAAAATCCTTTGATAGACTGCTCAAAGAACTACCAGAATTGGTGTTGGATTCTCCCAGGGCACCACAGGTAAATTTGTAAATCTTTATGCCAGTAGTCAAAAGCTTTTTGTGGCTGAAATAGATCAAATAAAATGAAAGACTCTGTGTTTTGAAAAATATCAATTGATTTTCTTACTGTCTGTAATCCTCTCCCAATTACCCAGGCTGTGTTTTCACTTTGAAACAGCTCATTTAAATAAAGCCTGAAAACCAAACACATAATTATCTACTTAAAACTTCTTTGAAATTCAGCATTTAATTGAAAATGCTTCTGTTTTGTTGCAGTTGGTGGGCCAGTTCATTGCTAGAGCTGTTGGAGATGGGATCCTAAGCAGTACCTACATAGATGGCTACAAAGGCACTGTGGATTGTGTCCAAGCAAGGTAATTTCCTTGCTTTCTCTATAGTTTTCTATTCCAAATGTCAAAGATGATGATCAGGAATTTACAGCTTCAAAATAAATCATGCAGTTCTTGAACTTGGTTTTTTAAATTTGAAATGAAAAAAAAAGCCCAAAAAACCAACAAAATCCAGAATGACTCAAGTCAGAAGAGAAACACTGACTTCAGAAAAATGTATTAATACATTTGAGTTAGCAGGTTTGTTGTCCAGCTTATGTTCAAGAGTGAAAAAGGAGCTGTAAGAAGAAGTGGTTATGGAAGGTTTTGTCTTAGAAAAAGCTTTAATGTGATTAATGGGTAAATATAGCACCAGGGCAGCTGCTGTAAATATGTTGTGAAATACACAAGGGATTAACTGTTTTGCCTTGCAAAGGTTTGAAGCCTGTGCAGTGATTTCCGAGACTTTCTCTGTAACGCTCTGTTTGTCAAGAAGTACAATTGTTTTCCATGTCAGTGTGAGAAGTTTGAAGGAGCAGTCTCTGACAAAGAGGGATGTTTTAATAATGAGTCATGTTTTATTTTTCTTACCCCCATAAGTGTGTGTTTCAGGTTTGATATGGAGGTGCTGAACTCTTGTTTCTTCCAGAAGTTGCACTTGCAGTGATTACAGTTTGGCACTTTCAGAAGGAAGAGCAGTTCTTAGCTGCCTACCTTGGGGGCTCAAATTGAGAAAATTGTCTGTCACTTATATAAATGTGCCCTGTGATTTGAGGGATTGTAGCCTGCATTCTGCACATCTGGGATGCTTTGCTGCCTTTGTTATTTCTTGGCCAGTCTTTCCTGCTCATTAAATCTTGGTGAATAGAGTTATTGTTATTGGCTTGCCCCCAGCGTGAGGGCTGGGAGAACTGTTCCTCCTTTACATGGATAGTACATACTGTATCCCAGACTTCTTTTTTGTCACCTCACTTCCCTTTTTATACTTTTTTCAATAAACTGGCAGGCATCCCTAGCTTGTGCTATTTTTCCAACTACATATTTACCTTCTGAAGTGTTTTCTTTGGCTTAAATTCTAAAGGTTTCATAATTCTTCAGACCGAAATGGAAAATAGCATTTCAGTAGAAAACTGTTCTTGAGCGTGGCAGCGACTCAGGCCTTTTTTGTTTGAGATCTACCTGCCAAGCTGCATTCTTGGAGGAGTCTGGATACAATCCATTTCTGCATAAGAAAAACATTCTTAGGTATTTTTTGTGAGGATGTTTCAGGTTCTGCATTGGTGATTTAATTTACTGCCATCACAGCATTGTTACCTGTCCTTGGTATGAGCAGCAGTGTAAGGTGACAGAAGGATGATGTGGGGAGTTTATATTTTGCTGGTTTTATGATCTGGATGATCACCTGCTTGCTTAGCCTGACCCCTTCCCAAAGACCTGGTAGCTTTGTGTGAGGATCTGTGGCCATGTGGGCAGTTGCAGGTGCATTAATGGAGTTGTGGGATGAGGTTTAAAGCTCTGCCTCTGCCTTTAGAGCTGCGCTGGACCGCGCCACGGTGCTGCTGAGCATGAGCAAGGGAGGCAAGCGCATCGACAGCGTCTGGGGGGCTGGAGGGGGCCAGCAGTCTGTCAAACACCTGGTCAAAGAGGTAAGGCCACAACTCCCCACTCTCCTGTGGGCTGCTGCTCTCAGCTTCTCTCTTTGGGGTACAGGGAACAGGGACGAGTATCCCATACTAAAATGATGTCTTACATCATGAGTGTTGGCTTTGTAGATAATTGAGTTGATTTTGTAGTATTTGTCACTGGCGGGAGCATGCTAGTACAACATTCAGTATTGCAAGTATATGTTTATTTTTGCTTCAAGCAAAGCTTGTAAGCATTCAGATTTTTAAGACCTCACAGTATAAAGTGATGAAGTAATTAAAAGAGCCAAGATGAAACTGGCTAACCTAGATAAACTATTATACTTTGGCATTGCTGATCAAAAGCACAGTAATAACTGAAAAAAGAGAGAGGGAGAAAGAGGAATGTTCAGAGATCCATGCTATAAAGTAAGCAGGTTTAAAGGAAAAGGTCATGTTACAATTTCTAGGCTGGGAGCCTAACAGATGATAGGAGGAGGCATTCAAGGGAGAGGATAAACTTAATGCCACCCACATGCTCCTTTTATGGTGACACACAGCTTATAAAACAATGATTTTGGTGTTTCTGTATCAACACTGTGGATAGGGATTTGGCTTACACTGTGTTTCAGGTTACTGATAATGTCTCCCTTTAATTAATGCCTAAATGTAATTACATTTATAAAACATTGGCAGCAAGTTTGAGGAACTAACTGGCTGCTGGGTTGCTAGTGGATTATCAAAACAGTTGACAGCTTTTACATTTTATCTCTAATTAGTGTTGGGTTTTTGTTTTCAAATTCAATAGATTGATATGTTGCTGAAAGAGTATTTGCTTTCTGGAGATGTATTGGAAGCAGAACGCTGCCTTCAGGAACTGGAAGTACCCCATTTTCACCATGAACTTGTATATGAAGTAAGGAGAAATCAGGGCCCTTTAATATTAAATTGTTGGTGTTTTGATGTGGGCATGCAAATAATATAACTGGCGTCTGAAGCTTGGGTTGCTTGCTCTGTTATTTGAATAACTAAATTGTTTCATGTAAAGTTAAAGGTTTGTGTGTGCATTGTGCAACAAGTAAGCTGCTGCTGACTCTGGGAAGATCCAGAAGTAATTTCTGGGGGTTAAATATTTGAGTTCAGATTATTATAAGTTCCTGAAAATAAGATCTCAGTTTATTTTCTGCTGAGGAATAGCAACAAAGAAAATCCTCCCATGCTTTGTTTTGGTGTTTATTTCCTTCTAGTTTCAGATATCTGGGTATTCTAATGGGTGTTACCTGTTTTTGTTAAGTTATAGAGCTTCCTTTTTCAGGGTGGGATTGTTTCACCCAGCACATTTGTAAAAGCTTACATATTTCAGACCCAGCCCATATGGGAGACTGTTCCCATTTGTACTGTTTTTTTCTGCCAAATTGAGAAATGGTTGTTTACCAATAAAGCTGAACACCCACAATCTACAAAATTTCCTTTTCAGTAAATTGACTTGTTATAGAAAATTCCTTCACAATAGAACTACAGAATCATTTCAGTTGATGGGGGTTGTGCAGTATTGTAGATTTTAAGCTTCTGGGTCCTCTTAAAATCACAGATAACAAACCCCCATGGATACAAAATTAAAATCCCTTGGATACAAAATTAATTTCACAAAATTAATTAATTGCCATCTGTACTGCAGCAGCCATATGGATATAGTCATGTAGTGGTGAAACCAGAGAGAGAAAGGCAATGCTTTTCACTCTGTCTAGTCCTTTCTGGTTTTTCATACTTTTTATCTTATCCAAAGGATTTCATTAATTTTCTTTTTCTAATAATAATAATAATATCAAACTGAAGTAGTGAGTGCATGTAGCAAATGGGCTTTTTTACCCAGAAAATTCATAATTAAACATTCAGTCCTTTCTGTACCTCATATGCTCACACACCTTGTACCTGAGCCAGTGTTTTCATTTCAGTCAAAACACTTGCACTGTTTGTTTTAGGCCATTGTACTGGTTTTGGAGTCAACTGGAGAAAAGACCTTTAAAATGATACTGGATTTGCTGAAAACTCTGTGGAAGTCTTCTGTCATTACTGTGGACCAAATGAAAAGAGTAAGTATGGCATTTAGAGAACTTTGTATAAGGTCTTCCAAAATTTCCAGCTGCCTTTATGCAGTTAAATGGCTAAAACTAATCATCTAAAATGCTGAAATATTGCTTCATCTTTTAAATTTGTCTTTTTATCTGGTAGTTCTTTGTAACTGAAGTAGTACAATAAAGGCCTACTAATTACAAATATCAAGTAGAGCAGTATAAAACCCAGTGTTTTCAACAGTTGGAACCATCTGTGACTTCTCAGGTGAGTACCTGACAGCAGTTCTGTCCCAGGGCAGACTGGGGACCACACCAACACTTACATAAAAATTGACCCAGCTGTGTTGCTGGTGGGAGGTGATGAAGTCATCTCTGGTTGTCCCCAGTCTCCCCTGCTGCATAAACTTGTGTTGGTCATTTGTGGCTGCATTTTGTTCACTTACATGAAAGACTCATTTTCTTCCCATGTTACTGCCCTTGTGAAACCATATCAAAAAATAAATCCTCTGGAATGCAGAAGGGTATTTAAAAACATTGTAATAAATCATAGAATAACCCAATGATTATGTGAATCCTTACACTGCAGGGCTATGAACGGGTTTACTGTGAAATCCCAGACATTAACCTGGATGTGCCACACTCCTATTCTGTGCTGGAGCGCTTTGTGGAGGAATGCTTCCAGGCTGGAATCATCTCCAAACCACTGAGAGACCTCTGCCCCTCCAGGTACTTCTTTCATTGCAGATAGGCAAAGGCTTTTCATTCCTGTCATAGGGTACAGAAAGCAGCATCTGGGGACCAAAGTGTTGCTGATTGGAAACTGGAGGATGGACCAACAGTTGGACTGGAAAAATATGTATTAAGAAGCTGCACTGATGTGAATCCCAGGTAGCACCCCTCAGTGCTCCTCAGAGGATAAAGGCTGCCTCTCCTTGGGTTTCCTGATTTGCTTGGTAGAAATCAGTGCAGCCCCAAGGTGGAAGATCCAGGTGTCACAATGGTCCATGTAGGTGACAGAGGAAAACTCTCAGTTATACTGGGGAAACAAAAAATAATCCTTTAGAAATGGTTTAAACTTATCAAACAGCATGAGTGGAGTTCTGAGATGAGACAACCAGTCCTAATATTCACATAAAGAGGAACAGGACACTAATATGGGATAAGCTCTGCACATCCCATTCCTCATATTTGTTCTGTGATTTGTTTAATGCTTGTTTTTTTTGTTTGGCTTGGTTACTTGTAGCATAAATAATGCTGTGTAAACTGTACCTAATCAGTATGCTTTACCTCCTTACTGGTCACAAAACAGTTAAGTTTCATTTCCTCTGGGGAATATATGTAAATTTTTTAATAGGATATAAATACTATTATTCACAGTTTCATGCATTGGGAATAGTATTTATTTGACAGATCTTTTCTATTTTGGGTGTTTTGTTAGAGTTCTTTAATGTGATAAATTTGGATCTTGGAATGTTAGCATCTTTATCAAGAACAGCCTCCATTTGTGGACTTCACACTTAAAACTCTGTGTGTGTGTGTTGGTATGAAATGTTTTGCAGGTTTGGGTGTGTGGGAGGACAGAGAGCCATCACTGCATCAAAAAGCTTGATTATGCTTTGGTTACCATTTATATGTTGAGAGGCATTTTTGATTTATGTACTTCAGTTTTAAGTAGAAACCCACCATTCCTAGGTTTCCAAACCAGCATTTTTAAGCAGCTGAGCTGACATTGTGATCACTGCTAACCCTGCTGAACTCACACTTTATATTTGACTTCCAAGACCCAAGGGAAGATTGTCCTCAGCGATAAAAAGCAAGCAATGCTACTGTAAATGACTGAAAAAGAGACTTTGTACTTTCTTACAGGGGCAGGAAGCGTTTTGTGAGTGAGGGAGATGGAGGTCGCCTGAAGCTGGAAAGCTACTGAAAGTGAGACCTGCCTCCTGCAGCCCTGCAAGGGAACCCAGCTCCTGTCCATGTATACAGCACGCATGCTCCTCTGGTGTGTGTATGGATGCACCTCTGGGACTGACCAAATTTAACAGTTGCTTAGCACAGTTCGTATTTTTTTAAGAGCACATGTTTTGGGTACAAATTGTTTTCTTTTTTTTTTTTTTTTTAATAGTTTTGTAAATTTCAGGAAGAAGTGTTCTTTCTTTGGGCATATAGTAGAACAACTAGCCACTCTGCTGTGGTGGTGCCTTGAAATAAGCTATCTCTGTATGTGCCATGTTTATGACCTAATCATTCCACGTGTGCATCGATATCTGACTGCCGCTCGCTCTTTCCAGGACAGTGCTGTCATCATAAAATCACTGGTTTATACAAAGCTTTATTATAGAAGGGTCAAGTTAAGCTGCTGTGATCCCATTTCCATTGCTGCTAAAGAAATACTGTGCTTTGGGAGTTAAAAAAATTAGCAGTTTCTTTGTTTTAAAGAGCCCAAGAAAATACAGCTGGGGCACAAGACTAATTCATCTGTTTCAGGGCAGAACACTGGTTGGTTTCAGCCCCCATGTACCAAACTTGTCTTTTTTTCTATGTAACTGGAAAAGTGAAAAGTTCTGGTAAAACATATTAAAAATATTTTTTGTGAATATCTTGTTTCTGCCTCCTTTTTATTTAAACAGAATAAATTAAGCAGTACATCTAACGCTGCCCTTTGGTATTGCAATCAGGAGGAGAGCACAAAATAATTAAATTCACGGCAAATGAGTATTTACCAGAATGTTTTGGAAAACACAACTGACTTGCGTAGGAGCGTCCAGGCTGGCACAGATACTGTGAACCTGTCTTTGCAGCAGAGCTTCGTGCAACCCTTGCTCAAGAACGAGATGGATCTAAGAATGACTCGCTTCCAGGAACTCGGTAAAGCCTCTCCTTTGTTTTTCAGTTTCACGTCAATATTTCAGGTGTTCTGAAATGCTGGGAATAGCCATTCCAGGCCGGGAATAGGCTGTGCTCGAGGAGCCAAGCGCTTCAGTGCTCAGGCGGGTCTGGCAAGCCCGGCTCGGAGCAGGGGATGTGGAACTCGCTTCCTCCCGTTTGTCTTTTCTGGTAGCTCTAAAGACTCGTTTAACACCAGCGCAGCTCCTACACCGCCAGCGCCCTTCGCGCGGCCTCCCCGCCCAGCCGGCACCACCGCCCGCGTTCAGGCCCTGCTCAGCGGCAGCCCCGCTCCACAGCGGTACCTCCGATCGCGGCTGCCGCCGGGCACGACCCTCCCCGCGCTACTGCCGGGGCGGCGCGGGCCCCGCGGATGGCGGCGGGGCCGCCTGGGCCGCGTCCAGCGCCGCCTTCTGCAGCTTCTCCAGCTTCTCCAGCGACACCGACTTGAGGGGCAGGATCTTGGGCTTGCACAGCACCAGGGCGGGCATGTCCTCCACCGAGAGCTGCCCTGCAAAGGGAGAGAAGGGCCGTGAGCGAGTGTCGGGCCGGGCGCGCAGGGCCAGGCGCCGCTCGCCGCCGGTACCTTGCTTGGGCAGCACCTCCCGCAGCGCTCCGGTCCCCTCCGGCATGGCGGCTCCGGCACGGCACCGTCCCCGGGGGCAACTACAGCTCCCAGCTTACACTGCGCGGCGCCACGCCCACGCACGCCACTCGTGCCCCCCGGTGCGTGCTGGGAGCGGTAGGCCCGACGGGTCTCCGGCCGCCCCAATGCGCGCTGGGAACTGTAGTCCTTGGCGTGGCGCTGGGGTTGGGCCGCCTCGGACGCGGCGGCAGCGGCTCCCCCAGGGCTGTCCCGGTCCCGGGATTCCGGGATGCCGCTCCCCGCCTCAGCTGCGCCGGCCTCTGCTCTGGGGCGGAGCCGTCCCACCTGCGCGGGCCTGCCCGGCCCGGCGAGCTGCTGCCTGCCCGCCCGCTAGGGCCCGCCGCGGAACTCGGGCTTTGAGGCGCTTTTATGGTTTATTTTCTGCTTCTGTAAATAAAATCCCCACCAAACACCGTCCAGCAGACGGGCGTGGCCAGGGCGTACGCGTCCCGGTTTTCGTTTCCAGGCAGCGCCTCGGGATTCGCGCTGTGAATCACGCTGCTGTTTGACATGTAAACAGCAGGAAAAGCCGCTGTCTTTCTAAACGCTGAGGGCTCGAATGCCGCCGAACCGGACGGGCCAGTGCGCCGGGATCCCCCACAGGGGTCCGCCTTTGCGGGATCTTTGCACCGGCAGCAGCTTCCCTGGGAAAGCCCCCGGGGAGCCGCGTGTGTGACCCGGGAGGGGCTGGGGGGGATTCACCCGTGCTGGGCCTCGGCCGGGCCCCAGCGAGCCCCGGTGCCGCGATGTGCTGTAATTTTAGAGTTTGCTAATGAGCTTGCCTGTGTGCCTGGGGATTGCCAGCTCAAACTGGTAACCCTGCTAACCTGGCTCCTTTCAGTGTGCTGGGATTGAGATCTGGCTTCTTGCTATGCACAGGGATGGCCGTGGATGAGTAAAATGATGGGGAAAATGATCTTTGCTAATAATTGTTTTCCATTCTGCCTTGGTGGTGGCTGTCTGCATGCTTCCTTCCCTTTGCTAGCTCAGGGGGGACCTGTCAGCTGTGGGATCCAAGCTTTGCTGGGAGAGTAGTGATAAAAATTTTAACTTCCAGTAAGTGGCACCTCTCTGACAGTTATTTAAAGCCTCTGTCTGCATTGTTCCAGAACAATTTCCTTTTTCCTCTAGGCAACCTAGAGTAGGAAGCTGACAATCCCTCAGGTACCCGGTTCCACCTCGCTGGAAGTCTCTCCTGATGCTGGGTTGGAGGCCGGCAGAACCCACAGAGCCTGGGAGCAGGGCTCCTCCTCCCTCCTTGCGGAGCTGGCCAAAGGGAACTCTCCTGGGCTGCTCCAGGGCACCACAGAAATGGGCTCTTTTTGGCCCTACTCGCATATTCCACTGTCATGTCAGAATATCAGCATTGTGAGGCTGGGAAAGGGATGTGCTTGCTGAGGACATCCTTCTCTACCCTTTGAAGTGCTCAGAAGCATTCCCACTGATTTCAGTGGGAAAAGTTCCTTTGTCTGATGTGCTTTTCCATGTGCCAGTCAGTATTTTTTGCTGCCTGGAAGGGAAAGGACAAGGCACTGCTTTATGATGGCTGTTTTTAGACCAGGGGATTTCAAACAGTACATGCAATTTGCAGATCAGTTATTTGTAGATATTTGTCATTTTGTTTGTAAGAACTGATCCAGCATCTTAGATATGGCAATGGCTAAAAATGAACATAAAAGATACCCAGTTATGACTAAAAACTTTGCACTGTGAAAGCAGGAGTTATTCCTGTGGTAGCAAATATGGCCTGCAGAGCAACAGAAATGAGCTGAAAGCAAGATGCTGAAATCAAATTGTAGGCCAGGTTTTTCACCAGTGTCCTTCACAGTGCCAAGGCCACCTGGAGTCCAGCATTATGTGAACACTTGCATTTGGAGCCCATCTCAGTTGTGCAGGGAATCACTTTCCAAAAGCAGTTTTCCTGCCAACAGGGTTTGTTTGCTTGGTGATAAGAAACAATGGTCAGCTCAGTTTGTTGCTTGAGCATTTTAGTGACTGAGAAGTCTGGCATCCTGTACTAGATCCATTTTCTTAGCTACTCAAATGCCAGCTTGGCAGCCTATCTAGGAAGCTGATAGCGCTGGGACAGGCGTGATTGTGGAGGTTGTTTTCAACAGTTCCTAGTAAGTCTGTTTTTAAGACATCTCCTTCCTTTTTTCCTTTCCTGGGAAAAAAAAATCATAGTTACCACCTTCATGACTGGGAAGTCTAGATGAGAGAGAGGAGGGAGGCATGGGCATGCAGCTTAACATCCTACTTTCCAAAGTGCCTTAAAAACAGAACTGGGTTTAGTTTTGAGTAAGGCTGCTATTTATTCATAGTTATACCCCATTTTTTAACCTTTTTGGCCACTGGGGTTGACATGTGCTCAAGCACCCATTCATTTCTCTCACGGGCCTTTCCAGTTCCCAGGAATAGCTGGGAAGCTTTTGCCAAAATCCTTCCATCTGGGAAAAGCACCGTGCACTTGCAGTGGGACTGTGCTGAGCCAGTGCATTATCTTGGTGCCATTCCACAGGGCTGAAGAAGTCAGAACAAGACTGTCCTTGTGCCCAGGTCTCAAGTTGTGTCCCCATAGCATGAAGCTTCCCAGAGTCCTGAGACTCGACCTCGGGCTGGAGCCCAGTGTTATTTGAGAAAGCCTGAGCATGGTATCCATGGAGAGGACAACGTGCTCTAGGTGGCACATCCTTATTTTACTGATGTCACAAACAAGTTATTCTTGTGCACTGCAGAGAGCCTCAGAGCCACAAAACCAGCAATAATTTTATAAATGATAAGCTTGTTTTCCTCCTCCTGTTCCCAGATACTCTGAGTGCAGCAGACAGCAGAGATGTGCATTGCTGGAATCCAGAGGGTTTCGTAATTTGGCAGCCACTTGCTGAAAGCCCTGCAGATACAAAACAACACTTATTTCAAGTCTTGAGAAACATCTCCTACTAAGTAGAAGAAAAAAGCATTTAGGTGAAGCAATGTTGCCAGTCCCATTTGTTTATGAGGCTTGGGTTTTTTCTTTATACATTTAAAACGCTTTTTATTTTCCTTCTGCTTTTTAAGCCTTTCAAGTTCATGTTTTCCATATGACAAGAAAGTCTGGAATCAAGTTCTTACTTTTAAAAGCAAAAATTTGGTTCAGAGTCCTGTATAGTCATGCAGCTCCAGACATGGGGTGTTTAAAAATAAAGCCACTTTGATGGGAACTACCCATCTTGAAGGTGACTTTCTGTTCTGAGTTTAAGTAAATACTTTGTTGACAGTTTAAGAAGCTTTTCACAGCACCTGATCTGTGTTTGCTTTCCACTTGGATCTCTCTCTCTTTTCTTCTTTTCTCAAATTCTAGAGCTTGTTTCACCTCTCTGTGTGCTGATGAGATCAGAAATGTCGTGTGGCAGCATTTGGTAAACAATGCATCCCAGTGCTTTCAGAAATACACCTGCAGATTTCATGCAGTTGTCCCTGAAGCTGCTGAGTGGGACCCTGGGACACAGAGCCCAGCTTCAGAGAGAGGAGGAGGAGGAGGAAGGTGGTTTGGGTTTACTGGGTGGGGTGAGGCAAGGAACAGAAAGCCTGGCATGGCTCCCTGTGGGAATCCCAAATGCCTTCAGAGCCTCAAGCTTGATTGCTTGGTGTTTAACCCAGTCCTTGTTTTTGAAAGGAAGTTGACAGACAAGTGATTTTTTTTTTAGTTGAGCTTTCTGAATATACTTATTTTAAGTTTGTTGTTTGGTGTAGTTTGATGCAGATCCTCAAGCTGTATGCAAAAGACAAGGAGACGTGCCTGGAAATGCATTATCCAAGGGACACAGCCACGGCTTTTTGACAGGCTGCTCTTCCTGCTAACACCTGGTAAACGCAGAGACCTGGCTCCATGTAAGTCCCATTCTGGGCTCCTCAGCCAAATGCTCTGCACTGGCATTTCTAGGAGGTTACTGCTCTACTTGTGTGGTTTGAATCCCCTAAGTCTTTGGCCCCGTGCCCTGGAGTGCCAGCAGAGGCTTGCTGTAATTGCCCGTAAGTGCACCGTCTGTCAGATTATTCTTTAATTATTCCAGCTTCTCACCACCACACACTGCTCTGTGTCTCTCTTGCTATCTTTATTTAATTGAGTGGAAGAAATTCGAGACTTGTGCTTCTCTTACGTCACTTTGTTTTTACCCATCCTCGCCGCATCCTACCGTCAAGTCCCACCTTTTGTTTGCAGAAGTCAGTCTTCTAGAGAGAAAAAAACCATTGTCAATATCTCAAGCATATGTTAGAAAGAGAATCAATATTTTAACACATGGTAAAGTCAAACCATAAATCTCTCAACACAGTGAAACCATTGTATTATTCTCCCTTGAAACACCGCTCCTCCCCCTGGGAAACAAGAGAGGGAAAGAAAACTCTTGGATAACCAAGCCCTTGTCCTCACAATGCAGGACTGTTCTTACCCCTTCTCTCTTTGCTGTTCCTTCCTCTTCAAGACCCATCTTTCCCCAGCCCATCCCTGTTCATCTGTTCCAGAGTATTACTGGGATATCAGCTTGTGATGACCAGTTCCACTGCCTACCTGCTGCCATTTCTAACATCTCTGTGCTTCTTCCCATCCTTGCTACCAGGCTCTTAATAATGTGTGTTGGAAAAATAATCTTTCTGAGCTCTCTCTGACACTCCTTATCTGTATGGCCTATAAAAAAACCTGGCAACTCTCTGGCTGCCTTTCTTCTCTCATGCTCCCTGTGCCTGTGACAAATATGTGTCATTTTTCTGGTCTTACACTTGGCTTTCAGCCTCTGAATCAGAACACTCTTCTTGTACAGCCCCCCACACAGAGATCAATGCTCTGGTGCACTAGTACAATAATAGTAAACATTAGGGTTGTTGGCACTCTGCTGTAGTTTTCATGGCTCTGGGCAGAAGGAGTTTAATGGTGTCCTTTTGGAAGATCTATCTGCACCAGAATGATTTAGTTTTCAGGGTTTCATTTAGAAATCCTCAGCTGAAACCCCCCCTTTACAGGTGTGCTCCTTGACTGACTTTTGGGGTTGTTCTTTTCACTTCCTGTAACTGAACTGTAGGATTACTTATTTCATGCTGCTTTCTGGTTTTATTTTTCAGCCATCTCTTTTCTTCAAGAAGGAGCAATTTATGTAAGAATTTCAGTGTGGAACTGACTTTAGGCTTTATTGCTGTTTGTCACCCTTCAGGAAATACATCCCTGGCTCCAGCACTCAATCCCTGCTGGCATTCTGAAGAGGAAGAGAAAATAATAGAGCTGCAGCTATTAAGACCAACAGGCAAATATTTTATTCAAACTCAACTTCTTCTTCCCGGGTCACTCTTAAGGAATATTTTTCTGATTGTGAGAATGCGAAGGAGGGTTGTGTTTGTTTGTCTTCCTGGAGACTCCCCTATTCAGCTGATCTTCATCTTCTTCCACATTTCAGGCAGCAGGGCTGGCAGCAGTGACAAGCTGTAATCCCAAGGAAAACTGCTTGTGCCTGTGGCCTGGGTTAACCTGCTGGCAGTGATACGTGCCTGGGCAGGGGCGGCCGTTTCACACAGCTCAGCATGGACGTGCTGCCACTCCCAGCCACTTTTAGGACACAGGTGAGCTGTTTCCAGCAATCTCAAAAAAGCCTGTAATAAAGTTGTTCTGCCTTCCTGGAGCCACCGCTGCCTGAGACCTTTCCCCTTTCTTGGCTACTGTGAGCCTCCTTCCTTCGGCTTTGCACCTTTATCAGCTGAAATGACCCAGTCAAGAACTGGCTGTGGTCAGGCTCTGTCTCACAAGCAGGGGCTACACTGCCACTCTTGTGGCTGCTGAGAGCAGGAAGATCAGAGAGGACAGCAGGGAGGTGGAAGCTGCTCCCTCTTTTATGTGGAATGGAGTCAGGATATGCCCTTGTGTGAAGCTGAGCAGAGAAAAGCTTGGGCTGCCCTCGCATTCCTGCGCACCATGCCATTCCAGTCAGCCTGGTACTAATCTGCAGGGATCTCTGGAGGCATGAAACAACATGCAGTGCAAATGAAAGCCACACCACACCACAGTACTGGTGCCAGCCTCTTTTAGAAGGCTGCCATGAGAGCCAAGGGAAACAGGTACAATGGTAGGAGATGCCTTGTACCACCTGCAGGCACAGACCTACAGCACTCCAGCAGCTCGTGAGCCATGTGAAAAGCTGGTGAACCCAGGGCCACTTAGACTTGAATGCACTTTCCTGGGGAGGAAGTGGCTTTTCCCTTGGAAAGCTCAACTCCCCAGGGTCTGCATGAGGTCAATGGAAAAAGTGATTTCTTCAGAATGTGATTCAGAGTGCCTAAGCACTGGGCTTATCTTATTGACTACAGAGGAAGCTCAGATTCTGTAGATTTAAACTCACTTTTGAGAATACTCATTCTCTCTTGCCCCTTAGTTGTGGGAGTTATACTAGACCTGGATGTGGTTAGGCACACTTGGAAGGCACACTACCTACTGAAATTCAGGTGCTGCAGACCAAAGCTAAGAGAAGCTTGTCTACCAGAGCACAGGGTGTCCTGTTGGATCCTGTTTTGTCCTATTGAGTTACCCTGGGATGTCAGAAATGGATTTGCAAGTACCAGAAAGGAAAATTAAATCAAGAAAAGTTGGTTTCTTCATGGTTGTCCTGACTGGAGCTGGAATAATCAGCATCTGTTTCAGTTTAACTGAGTTTTCATTCTGGCCTTTTTCCCCTTTCAAAGTACAGGCAACTGAAGCCTTTAATTTGCCCTGTCTTTCACTGCAGAGGAAAATAGGAGTTTCTAACAGCTGTTACTATCCTGTCTAGAATAGCTACACTAAAAAAATACAGTTTATTGTCTGTTGTGAATGAAAAAGCTCTTGCTTGTTTCTGTTGTTTGTTGTGTTGACTTTGAAAGATAAATTGTTTGAACTGGTTGACTCTCCATTTGTATAATTGAAGATTAGCTTGCTTGATAGCCTGCTGGATTTGCAGTTTTCCCTTGCTCTCAACAAACTGATGAGCTGCTGGCCTTGGGACAGTTAGGACACAGCACATACTGAAAAAGTTTGTGCTCATACAGGTAAATAAGAAAATAACTTCATGCATGACATTCTGGATGTGCTGCTTCAGTGCTGATATGTCCTCTCTTTCCACCTGGAAGAGTTCTGGTAAGAGCTAGGAAGCCTTTTGAAAAATTGCTAACAGACATGGATAGGTGGCTAATGAGTTGAAAGTAGAAGCTGGCAGGACCAGAATGAGTTTTTACATGGTAGTTCTAAAATCCTAAATCATGCTGCTTGTGTTTGAGAACATAGATACTCTGTCCTTTTATCATACATTTGCTTTGTAAAAACAGTTGGAGAAAAAGGAAAAATAACTTCTTGTCACTCAAGTAAGCAGACCTGGCCCTGAATATATAAAAGGAAGTGACAGTAAAAATAGCAACATCTTATTGTACTGTAGTCCTTCAACAGAGAACCATATCTTGAAGTTCCCCTTCTTTGCATCCTTCTTTGTATTGCAAAGACATCTTGGCCCAAGCAGAAGCTTTTGCTCTGGGGGGTCAGAGTCTGATTTCAATGGGACAGAGCTTGGTGTCAGCCAGTGCACTGAGGATCAGCTTCTAGACATTGACAAGGGCTCTGGCCCTCCATGTGCATCCTCCAGGTTTGGTTTCTGTGCCTTCCTCGCTCCCCTTCTGCCAAGTGGTCCAGCCTTCCCAGTTTTTGTCTACTTATAATAAAGGCAGTGGGGCCAAGGTGCCATTCGCAGGGGAGACAGAAAAGAATGACAAAGGCATTCACTATTTCCATGATAGGCATGGTACTCACAAAATTAAGTGGGATTTGTTGTGCCATCAGCCTTCAAAACATGCTTCTATCCTTCAGAATAACTAAACCCCTTGCAACCCTTGGCCAAGAGACTGAAGCCAAACTTCTGGTAAACTGACAATTCAAGGGAAAGGAATGGGATGTGACAGGAAGGTCTACATAGACTGAGGTGTAGATGAGAGGAAGGCAAAATCTAGTGTGAAATTTTGGGATCTGAGACATGATAGTGGGAGACTGAGATATAGGAAGAGAGAGAGAGAGAGAGAGAGAGAGAGAGAAAGAAAGAACAAACAAACAACTGGGAATTAGAGTTTTATGTTGAGACTGGTTGGCAAGGAACTGGCAGACAGAAGGCACAACAGAACTTCAGTAGAAGGAAAGAAGAAGGAAGAGAGTGGAAAGTCAAGGGGATAGGCAGTGACATGAAGAACCAGACAAGAGGACTAGGACCTGGCGTGGGGAACCAAAGCTGGAGGCCCTATTGGAGATTAGGAAAGGAGGGACAGTCTGGGGAAGGAACAGGTGATCCAAGTCTGAGCGTGGAGGTGGGGCACAGGCAGCAGGGAGGGAATGGAGTAGCAGGGGGGAGCTGTGGGAAGCAGCCCCACATGGGGCAGAGCAGGGGATGTGTGGGTGGAGAGGGGCACCACGGGCTCTGCCTGCTGGGACATCCTGACTTGCAGAGCTGGAAGTGGAACAGAGCTTCCCTGAGGCTGGGCTTCATGTTGGCTCAGCCAGCAAAGAATTTGCCTCTTGTGCTGCCTGCCCCAGCAGCAGCAGCACAGAAACCACTGGAGCTGAGTGTCCTTGGCTGAGGCAGCAGCTGCCTGCCTGGGGGAGGAGAGCAGGCTGTCAGGCAGTTGGATGACAAGAATTTTACAGTTGGGAGGAGGCAGTGAGAAGGCCACATGACCAAGGGAGAAAGGGTCAATTCATTAGTCTGGCAGCCACTAAATTAAGAAAAGGCAAGTGGGACTATATATCAGAGGTATCTGAATTCGGTCAAAGATGATTCTGAAGTTGCTAGATTGATCTTGTGGTCGGCTTAAGCAAGCTTAACTAATTAATTGCTTTATTTTTGTTCATTGTGTAAGAGCTAGCTCCTAATCACACTGTTTTGTAGAAACATGCTTGAGACAACTGTGTAAATACTAAATAGCCTCAGGAATGGTCTTATGAATCCACTGAATAATCCAAATTCCAACACTCATCCCTCTCTGCTGCTGGTCTGGATGGAGGATAACAGCCACTGCTGCTGTAACTTTCAGTAAAAGGAGAAGTCTGTGCTGGACACACAAGGGTGGGGACAGTCAGCTGATGGCCCATGGAGGGGCTGTGATGCTGCATGAGCCTGCACCAACAGCTGTCCTTTTCAGGAGCACAGGAAATGCTACAGGTGTTACAGGAACACTATGAATGTTGCAAAGCCAAGCCTTTAAAAGTTAGGCAATGTCCAAACGAAATTGCCAGTGAAACCTTTATTCAGAACCATGCAGGTTATGAAATGCTCTTTAATTATATTTCTCCTCCTGCTCATTTCAGTGTGGATGGCAATAGTTCAAGGCCCTTGTACAGTCCTGTGGGGTTTCTGGGACGACAGTCTCCTGATCCTGAGAGACCCTTCACTAATTCTTGTAAGGATTGTGAGCTCCTGTATTCACCCTCTGCTCTGGGACAGGTCTGTGCCCATGAGATCTGGGGACAAACATTGCTGATGGAGACTGGGAGTAGGTTGGAGCTTTCCAACTCTTTCCAAGCTGAGCTTTCCAGCATCCAGTAGGAGGGTATAAATTTACCTACTCCATTTGGGCAGATTAAAAACAAATCTTTCATGCATGAATTCTGCCTTTGCAAAAATGTCTGTTAGTTCTGATTGTTGGCACAAGTATTGCCATAGTATCAGTCTAATCTCATATGACACATTTAAGGATTTGCAGCAGAAGGGTGGAGTTAGCAGTGTAAATTTCTTGGCTGATTTATCTCTTGTGACAATTGTCCTGCTCTGCTTTATATCAGCTTTTCAGAACAAATCTTATACTAGAGTGTAAAGTAACATTTCTTTAGATTTCAAGTAATATTTTTTTTAAAGCAAAGTGAGTGGAAGCAGAAGTAGACTCTCCAACAGAACCAGAGTACGTGCAGCACATATCCTTGGTAAATATTTCAATGTTAAGGCAACTGGGCAGTGACACTTTGCACACAAAGGGCCTGAGAAATGTAAAGGTACATGACAAAACATTCAGATCCTCCCTACAACACTACAGTCTTTTAATGCAAATGACTGTGTTCAATTAACTCACACAAGAAACATTTTTTTCGGACTCCAAGCTCTCAAGGCAGTGTGTATTTCCATGTCTTGTAGAGGATCCTGCACAGTCCACAATGAAGTTTTACTGATTAATAACAGCAAATAAACATCCAGTCATTGTAAGAAATGTTGCCACTAGGAAATTTCAACTGGTTTCTGTCTTGTGACCCAATATGCTAAAAATCCAGTTCTGCTTTTAATGCTGTTCAGCATTTATTAGTAAAAGCCCACATAACCACATTGAACTGTCTGGTTTGCCAAAGACTCACACAAAGGCAATTGGCAGAATTTTGGTATTTGATAATTGAATGTGAATAGCCTTGTTTTGCTGAAACCAGCCAGATGATTGCCAAAAGTTGTAAAAAATCTCATGGAAATCAGCAGATACTCAGATCTGACTATCTGATGTGGCTCCCACTCATGGTTTTGATTCTGCTGAAGTAGCTGCTCAACGTGAGCCTGTGGGCCCAGTCCAGACTAGCAAGTACTGAGATCAATTAGTAGACTCCTATTAATTTGAACGTATTTAGAAATTATAAATTTGAGATGCTACTGCAGTGCAGAATCCATCAAGGCTTGAAAGGGGAACTGATTGCAACCACCTGAGAACTTAGCATCAGAAAGCTAAACCTTTCTCAGCAAAATACTGAAAGATCTGTTACAAAAAGTCGTCAAGGAACTTGCTTTTAAAGCCCATCCTAAATGAAAGAGAGACTGATGGCAGGTGCTCTGTCACACTTGGGTATATTTGTCTACACAGAGGTGTCACCCTCTGGTATCCCTTGCAAAGGCAGCTTGCTTGGGCTTAGCCTGAGCTGTCTGCTACAGGAAGAAGAGTCAGCACATTGGTCCGAGGTTACATTGGCTGCCAGCTGCGGATGGTCCCGATTTTGTCGCAAAAGGAGACACGGGGATGTCGCGGTGCCCGTGCCCATTTCTTTGGCGGAGCCTCAGCGGCTGAAGGCGCCTTGCAGCAGGAGCTGTGCCCTGAGCGTCCAGCACTGAGGAGAGCCGCGCCACAGCAGCCATCCCTCCAGAACTCCCGCTCCTGGCTGCGCTGGGGCCAGCTCGCCATGCAGCTGTTGGAACGGCAGGAAAACACCTCCTGTTTGCTGTAACACTTCAATGAACGGCACTGGGTCACCGACCGAGTTACGGGCTGCCCTCCGCACCGG